CCTGAGAACCTTTCTCTATAACTTCAATTAAGTGCCACCTCTTTCTGCCCCTTGTGTGACTTCTATCATTGTCTTACCACCCAAGTGTGTTGACTTGTCTGTCTCTTACCATCTAGACCACAAGTGTCCACACAGGACAGGCAGCAGCTGTCTTAATCACCATCGTGCCTGGCACCGTGCTGCAATCAGAGAGTCAGTGAATGAGTAGTCAGTCTTTCTCTCCAGGGTTGATGTTTTGTCACTGCTCTAGTCTGAATGTGTTCTCTCTAAATTCTTCTGTTGAAATCCTAACCCCCAAAGTGATGGTATTAGGATATAGGATTTACGGTGAGGTGATTAAACCATGAGGGCTGAGCCGTTATGAATGGGATTAGTGCCCTTATAAAAGAGGCCTCAGAGGGCTGCCTTGCCTTTTCTATTTTGTAAGGACCCAGGAAGAAGGCGCCATCTATGAACCAGGAAATGAACTCTCACCAGACGTTGAATCTGCTCATACCTTAATTTTGTACTTCCCAGCCTCCAGCTCTGTAAGAAATCAATTTCTATTGTATATAAGCTAATCCATTTATGCTATTTTGTTATAGCAGCTGAAATGGAATAAAACACTCATTGTAGTAAGAAACAAATATGCTTTTCTGGTATCTTAAGTTTTGACCAGTGCCGATATGCATAAGATAGATTAGGAAGTGGTGGTAAACAGTCCCTGAAAACCCCAAGAAAAAACCAGCTGAGTGACTCACATTTTACAGGGAAGGACGAGCTGCTCAAAATATCCCCATCCATAAATTTGGGAATGGGAGCATGGAACCAAATCTCCAGGGCCTTCTTATCACCCCCAGCCCCGTCACTTCAGAACTTTAAAAGTGAGATAGATAGTTGAGAGGCTGGGGTGAGCAGGTGCAAAAGCGATCTAGTTTTCTCACAACATATTCACTGAACTTTCTTGGCAAAGGGAAGCCTCTTCCATTATTCATTCACATTCTACTCTGGGTCAAGTACAATGCTCATTGCTCAGGATATAATGCCTGTTCTCAGTGAAGTATCACAGGCATGTTTGGGGAGATAGAAGAGTAAACAGAACATTGCAATTCACTGTGGACCACAGTCCTCAAAGAGAACAAAAACATTTATAATGGGCCTAGCTTGTATCCCACAGGGCTTCCTATCGTGCTTTGTACGGAGATGATCTGTTGGCCTCTGCCTCTTTCTATATAAGCAAAGACTTCACAGTGTGATCTGGAACATTTGTACCACCACTGAGAGAATTCAAAGCCAGTGATACATTCTTTGTGGCAATAGGTGTATTTGGTGGTGGTGAGCTTAAAGAATTTTGACTAGTTGGTGACTAAGAAAGGCAAGAAAATAATTTTTTCCTCTTTATAGAAAAGAGGGGCTGGGCACAGTGGCTCATACCTGTATTCATCATGGGCACTTTGGGAGACTGAGGTGGGAGCAGAACTTGAGGCCAGTTTGAGACCAGCCTGGTCAGCATAGTGAGACCCTGTCTCTACAAAAACTAAAAATAAATAAATAAATAAAAATAACAGGGCATGGTGCCACATACCTGTAGTCCCAGCTACTCTGGAGGCTGAAGCAGGAGGATCACTTGAGTCCAGGAGTTAGTTCGAGGTTGCTGTGAACTGTGATCATCCCACTGCACTCCAACTTGGGTGACAGAGTGAGACCCCATTTCAAAAGAAAATAAAAAGTAAACAAGGTTTGGAGACTAAGACAAGGTAGACTTTTACAGGTCTCAAGCAAAGAATCTTTTTGCTACTGTTTATGAGTTCCTAGGAATTCCTAGGATGATGTCAAGGAGAGAAACATAATGTTTCTTGTTTGCTTTATGAATTAATTATTTAAATGGGCAAAGAGGTAGGGGTGTGTGTGCATGTGGTGGGAGAAGGCTGGGAGGGGGCATGTTCTTCCCCGTTAGTCCTAACCTATCTCTAGCTCCAGTTAGTTGCTTCTGTTCCATCCCATCACCATGTGCCTGTGCATTCTCCATGGTGGCCACTCCAACTCTATTTTTCAGACATTGCTCCCCTTTCCTTGAGAATTCTTGCTTACTTCCTCCACACTAGATGCTACTCTACTCTTTGCACCAAGGAGCAACATTCTTATACCTCCATCATAACACAAATCCCCTTGCTTCATAATCTGTGTATGCATCTGTAACAGCCACTAGCTTGTATGAACAAATGGGCAAAGACCACATCACTAGCACGGGGTCAGTCTACACTGCACAGTCAGATATGTAAGGCCTTGTTCTGCTACATAATTAGCTATATAACCTTTGGGCAAGTTAGCTAATCATTGTACACCTTCATTTCCTTTTCTATAAAATAGTGGTAATAATAGTACTTACCATATAAAAAAGCATTTAGTTATGCAAATAAAATTACATATAATATACATTCAAAGAACTTAACAGAGAGCCAGGTACGAGACAGACACTCAGTTAATCTCACCTGCCTTGACCAAGTCCTCCTGAGAGTAGAATTGTCCCTCAGCAGCATTCCTGTTGTATTTTAGTAATTCAGATTACCGACACCTAAAACATGCAAATATTTATAAAGTCCTCAGGCATTGAAAACATTAAAATTATCTGGGGTACGAACAAACAGCAAAAGGGAAGCATAATTCATAAAGTTTTAACATGATTCAATTAAAATATCCAAGCTTCAATACAACTATCATCTTTAGTACGTCATTCCATCTCATTTTTCATCTCCCTGAAAGCATTCCATAGCTGTACTGGATTGATTGATCTCATAAACTGCTTTTGGGAAACAAGTCCCAGTCCTGCTTTTTACTATCCCAAGAAATATCCTTCTAATGAGCCAACAATAAATATTACCAGTTATTTGCTTCTGGTATGCATGAAACCGCACAGTGATATCACATTGTGGAGGTACAGAGAGAGGGTTTGGGGCGAGTGAACATGATCATTCTCACTTCTGGAGAAACCCGCTCTTCCTGCTCTTCGGATGAACTGCAGTAGGGAATGAATTGAGGCAAAGAATGTCTCTAGAGCCAGCGTGAAGATACCTTTCTCTCAGCTGCTCCACCAGGGTTGAGGCCAGGGAGTTGCAGTTAAACTTATTCATGCCACAATTTCAAGCTGCACTAGCTGAAAGAAGTTAGAAAAACCAGGGTCCACTCGGGGTTTCATTTCCTCTTTTTCTTTCACACTGATTACAATTCGATTTTGTGTGTGTGTCTAGTTATTTAAAAAGATAAAAGAAAAATCAAACAGCAACAAAAAGCAGCCCTCCAGGTGTCCTTTTCCGAGCCCGCAGCGGTTAGGTGAGTGAGTGGAGGGCATATGTATAATTCAGCTCGGGAGTGTTTCTCTTAATAATTAATTGAGCATCACAAAAGGAGGAGGCCCAATAGGGCCCTAGAACAAAGCTGCCGCCCCGAGGACGACAGTGACAGTCCCTGCGCCAACGAACCAGCCCAAGGTCGGATTTGCTCCAGCAGTCTGGGCATCGCGCTGCCACTGCCTGCTTGGTCCATCAGGCGAGCTGGGAGAGGTGTCTAAGGAGACCCTGTCGCCACGTGGGCTTCTGGTTATTTGTGTGTGCGTGCGCGCGCGCGCGTGTGTGTGTGTGTGTGCGCGCGCGTGGGGGGGATGGACAGCAAAACCTTTTTTTTTTTTTCTAAATGGAGGTGGGCAATGGGAGAGATCACTAAGGATGGAGACCTCCCAGGAGCCAAACCTCTCGCCCGGTTGATTCTGGCAAGCCTGAGACAGGCAAGCTGTCTACTTTCCTGTTTTGATGTGGCCCAAAGAAATAAACAAGAAACAAGGAAAGACTCTTCCTCAAACTGTAACTCCAGTCAATTAGCATGAAAAGCCCAAGAAGCTATTAACCAGAAGTTTCGGCTTTAGGGGAAGAGGGACTTGCCCCAGGCCCTGGCATGCGCAGCTAGGTTTAACTTTCAACTCACAGTGACCTTTTCCTTAATTTAATGCAAACAATCACGCCCAGACGTGGAGATTTAAGATGCTAATGATACATACGTCCTATGAAGAAGCATGTCAAACCACTATGCATGCACCAGAAAAACTCCAACTCTACATGCCCTGCCTATAGTTCCCCTTATTTCCCCTTACGGCAGAGGCCGTAAAGGAAACCCACACCCTGACTTCGAGGAACAGCCCACTTTTTTTTTTTTTTCTTGGTGTTAGCTCCCTTGTGCGCACAAGCTTTAATTAAAAGAAAGAAAGAAAGAAAACCAAAAAACTTGTATTTTGCTGCGATCTCCCATGATTTCTATCCCGAAGGATCCAAAGAGCCCTCAGGGAGTCCGTACCAGAGGCGTATTTCTTTTTGCAGCAACAGGTTGGCTGCGTGCTCTTCCCCCCTCTTCCAAAGCCCCCAGTCCCTGGCCCACCCCGCAACTTACTCATCTCTCCAACCCTCCTCCCCTAGGACTGCTGCCTCCCGTGCGCAGCCCCTAGCTTGGGCCTGATTCCAATTTCTGTAACATTCCCCTGCCCAGGGTTGAACACAGGTTGAAAGTCGGTCTCCTCCGCGCCCCGGAGGCCCAACCCCGGCGCTGAAGCCGCTCAACTACTGTGTACAAGGGAGGCGGAGACTGAGGGATCTGCACGCGCTGGCAGGCACAGGAGGGCTCCCCGCCAGCGGCCTCGCCGGAGATGCACCCGCCTCCCAACCCAACAAACCCGCTTTGGGAGGGGGTGGGGTGGGGAAAAGAAGACGGGGCTAGAGGGGAGATATAGAGAAAGCAAGTTAGGGAGAGGAGATGTCCCAAAGGACCCCATTTTCGGGACTGCACCTCCCATTGGAGCTCCCCGCTCCCAAGCCCTCTGGGGACTGCCGCGCTGCCGTCGAAACCCCTATTCCGGCCCCAACGGGGACACTTCTCCAGGATTTGCTCCTCGCCTCTGGGGACCAGAGCCAAAGACTCCTGGAATTGATCCCAGATCCTGGGAGTCGGGGGGCCCAGTCGGGGTGCGGGGAGTCGCGGCGTCGTGACTGCGCCCGCCCCGCCGCGCCGGGAGGCGCCCCTGGCGACCGTCGCGAACGCCACACCCTCGGCTCGGCCCTGGCCCCGCCCCCGCCCGGCGCGCGTTCGCGGCCAGGGGAGGCGTGTGCTGCTCCCGCAGCCAGCGAGAGCCAGAGAGGGATGGATGTTGGAGGAGGAATTCGGGCTTAACAAGTGATCGCTGCTGTCTAGGATTTTGTTTCTTTTCGGAGGAACCTTGACTTCCTTTCCCAGGCAATCCCTCCTGTGCTGAACTCCAGAGGAACCAGGAGTCTTGGGGTCTTCTCTGGGGCAGCCCCGACCCCCACCCCCAGACTCCAGCCGCGAGAACCCTGTGCACCCCCCGGGCCAGGCAACAGAACTTGTTCCGTGGATATTTGGAGCCTCCACCTGCCAAACCCGAGTGATTCCTTTTACCACCCCCCTCACCCAAGATCATTCTTCCCCTCCTCCAGCTGTTGCAGCTTGAGGGGGAAAAACAAGCCAGCCAGTGGATTTTCTTTATTTTTATTTTTCGCCCCGCCGGGGAACGGTAAGTATGATACCTTTTTTTTTTTTTTTTTATTTTTTCCTCCACCTTCTTCTTTTGGCTGTTAAGAAACAGTGGACATTTGAGGGATAAATAATATCGGGAATTTGACAGAAGGGCATGAATGGAAGGCGGTTAAAAATAAACCAGGAGGTGGGAGAAGGGAGGTGCGGATGCTGCGCGGCGCTCCAGGGGGCCAACAGTTGTTATTTTCCCAACCCCGGGGATGCGGTGAGTGCGCCCTGCTTAACGTGCTGGAGCGGGAACCGAGGTCTGGAGGCGACGGCGCGATTAAAGATGTCGTTTCCCAGCGAGAGGGGGGTTAAGATTTAGCATCGTTTCACCTCCTCCCAGCCGCACCGGTTCCCTTCTTTTGGGAACAGCCGGTGAACGAGTCTGAATTGCTGCCTCTCCCAACGTTTGGATTTGCGTGCATTTTCCGAGCATTTGAGCAACATACATAGGGGCTGCATAAATGGCGTGCGTTGAAGTGTGTATTTCTCACGGTATTGGCTTCTCTGATTCCCTCTCTCAATTTCTCTTCTCTCTCTCTCTCTCTCTCTCTCTCTCTAAGGTTCGGGTACCACCCTGACACTGACACAGTTGCAGGAATTAGCACTGAGACGAACAGCCTTGTTGTTGGAGGGGTTAGAGGAGGAGGGGCGGGATGTTTGGCTGTTGTTTGGGGGCGCCGGGATTGGGGAATAGGTAGTCTGCAAAATCCTATTAGTTTAATGGTGTTAAAGAAGAAGACAAATTCCTCTGCAAAGATCTATATCATAAAGGCTCCTGGAAATTGGCTTGAATAGATTCTCCTAACACGAGTACCCTGAGAAAGAAGAGAGATTTTAAACCAGTCTGATTTGCTGGGAGGAATGATTTTTCTTTTCTCTTCTTTTTCTTTCTCTCTCCTTTTCTAGATCAGGGATAGTGAAATAACTAGTAGATTATTAAAAGGAAGGCAATTTGCTACTTGTAGGGTGGAGGAGGGAGTTAGATAAACAAAGACAAATAATCTCAAATAAATAAATAAATGTGAAATTATCTGGTGTAGAGCAGAAAGAGGGCAGTTCTAGAACTCCCGAAGAGCTGATGGTGAATTAGAAGACTCTCTAATTTATGACCTTCTGGGAGTCAGTTGGGTGGGAGGGCAGGTGTGTGTAGTACTCAACGATACAGGAACTTGGGTTACACTGGGGCTTCATTGAAATTATAATTGTTTTGGGGGAGTTGGGGAAGAAACTGAGCAAACTCTCAGGCTATTTGGTCTGTACCAGTCTTGAAAGGATGTTGGCCTGACACTCCACGGTGAATGTCACCCCAGGATGGTTTTGTAAGTAGGGATTTAGTAACTCCTTGGGGGTAAACATTTCAGAGTATGAGATGATGTTAGGAGTCAGGCAAAGAAGGGAGATGGCATGTGAGAGGCCCTCAGTGGTGTATTTTCTGGAGTTTGTGTTCCAATCAAATGCCCTCCTTGCCCTAGGAAAATGAGTATGATTGGGAAGGGGTGTATGATTGGGAAGACCTCTGTTTGCCACTTCCATGCTTGTCACTTCATAAAATTTAGTGTGTTTAGGCTGCTAGGCTGACAGGATCAGCAAGGAGCAGCAGGTGGTCAAGAGCTGAATCCTGTTAATGGCTTCAGAAAGCCATTTCTCTTATGCTTTCCAAGTGCTTCCAGTAATAGAAGCTGGTAGATGCCCTGAATTCTGACTATCATCATTCTCTCCAGTTCTCTGGGTTACTCCCTGCATTCTTGGAAGTCCTGTTGAACAGAGTACATGGAAAAATCAAGAGGAGACAGGAGATTTGGATGGGGGCTTTTATAGGACCTGGCTGAGGAGATGAATTACCTGGATCTTGGGAGAGCAAACTAAGGAAGAAGAAGGGCCAGGAATAACAGGTGACAGAGGGAGCAGATTGGAACTGCAAGGGACATGCAATTCAGAAGTGGGAGATTGTAAATAAAAGTGGGCAGAGAGAGAGAGAGAGAGAGAGAGAGGACGAGGGATGTTAGGGATGTGGATTTTATTGAAGTGGGGGTAAGTATGATAGGCTAAGAATGAAGTCCACACAAACTGACATTTTAAAAAATAAGAGATAGCACCTTGAGCAGAGTGGAGGAGGAACCATTGAGGTGAACATGGAGCGACCGCCAAGGAGAGAAGATGGCTATTAGAGATGTGGAAACTGGCATTAGTTCCTAGCCTGTGGGTGGTAGAGAGTGTTCAGGATTCAGGGGAACAGAAAAACAATGGGGACATGCGGTAGGGAGTCAGGCAGTGCCAACTCACCAGGCCACTGGTGAGTCTCAGGATGTACCGTATGTCCTCATGTCCCATCTTCCCCTACTTTAGTTAGTGGCCTAAGGACACAAACACTGGGGGCTGTGTAGACAGACAATAAAAACGTAGGTTGCTGTCACGTTATTCATAACTGCTAGTGTTTATTGTCATTCATTAGGTAAAAGGCACTGTGATATTCTATCAACATCCATTATCTCATTTAGTCCTTACAAACATGAGATGGGGGAGGTTGTGTTATTATTTTATGTATGTACTTTATACATGTACTTATAAGTATACTTATATGTATACTTATACTTATATGTATAAGTACATATACTATGTATGTACTTTATAGATGAGGTGACTGAAGTGCATTCAAGTGGTGCTGCCTGCATAAAGAATAAGAATACTGTTGTTGTTGTTTTTTTCTTTTTTCCGACTTCCCCAATCCTGAGTCAAGATAGAGAGGAATGGAAGGGCACTTAATTCAGAAACACTTTATGAGTGGAAATTTTAAAAATTGCCTTGAAATAGATGAATGATGGAAGCAGCTGTAAAGTCACAGCATTATTTTTGTGGAATGAAGAGAGTGACAGTGAGAATTAAGACCTGGCATTGGTGAAGGGGAAGATAGAAGCAAGAGCCATGTGAGCCATGAGTGGAGAGAGGAAAAATAATTGAGTTACCATAAAAATAAACTGAGCTGAAATAATATCTGAAGAAGAAGGAAAGAATGATGTTTAGTGAGTGAGAATAGTGTGCCCCATACTCTTGAAAATGTATGGGTGTTTGGTGTGTTATGTGACTTTCTTGAAGAAAGAGAAAGATGTGTATATGAAGAGAAATGCTCACTTTGCTCTTTATGATTTGTTTCCTTTTTACTTTTCTCCTATGCTTGTTTCCAATCCTTTTTCAGGTGAAGTGCTTCTTCTGCATGATTTTGGCTGAAGAATGCTCTGCATTTCCTTGATTTCTATGGAGACCTCAGAGCTGGTTTTGCTTCTGCTGACACCTCATCTAGCACCTTCTCTACCTCCCAGGGTCTTTGCCTCTATCTATGGTTTGGCATCGTACCTGGGTCCAGGAAGCCTTTGATGAACTTAAAAGGAGAGCCTGCAGAATCGTCCTGATAGACTTTGAGTAGAAATGGCTGGACATACTTCCAACCACATCTTAACATGGTTCGAGCCATCACTAGAAGGCAAGTGCTAACAGTAAAGGCTTATTTGCATTTTATTTAAATTTAATGGACTGAGCATTGGCCAATTTCCATGGCAGAAAAATGTATTTCATTTTCTAGGCACAACTTCTGGCTGTCAGACACTTGCTGCCTTTGAATCTTGCAGCATCATCACTAACCACATCCCAGACATATTTCCAAATCTCAACATCTACCCCCAAAACATAGGTGTCTGAGACACTCTAGCATTTTCGGACTCCTTAGTCTTGAGAGTGCTAGGCTATTTATCTCGACCAGCCAAGCTCTGGAGAGCAATGTTGAATCCCTGAGAAGAGGGAGCATGGGGCGTGCTGATTTAAAAACAGAAAATGCAAAGTTGGACTGAAAATATCCTTAGTCTTCCAAGCAATCTGCTTAAGGGTTCCAAACTTACCTTAATTTGGTGAGAAAAGAAGCTGCCCTATTTTTCTTTCTTCTTCTTCTACAACTGGAACCAGCCATTTCCGAAAACCACCACCATGGAGGTTGCAATGGTGAGTGCCGAGAGCTCAGGGTGCAACAGTCACATGCCTTATGGTTATGCTGCCCAGGCCAGGGCCCGGGAGCGGGAGAGGCTTGCTCACTCCAGGGCAGCTGCAGCAGCTGCTGTTGCAGCGGCCACAGCTGCTGTTGAAGGTAGCGGGGGTTCTGGTGGCTCCCACCACCACCACCAGTCACGTGGGGCCTGCACCTCCCATGACCCTCAGAGCAGCCGGGGTAGCCGGAGGAGGAGGCGACAGCGGCTTGAGAAGAAGAAAGCCCACCACCGGCAGAGCAGCTTCTCTCATTGCTCTGACCTGATGCCCAGTGGTTCTGAGGAGAAGATCCTGAGGGAGCTGAGTGAGGAGGAGGAAGACGAGGAGGAGGAGGAGGAGGAAGAAGAGGAGGGAAGGTTTTACTATAGTGAAGATGACCATGGGGATGAGTGTTCCTACACGGACCTGCTGCCTCAGGATGAGGGCGGTGGTGGCTACAGTTCAGTCCGCTACAGTGACTGTTGTGAACGGGTGGTGATAAATGTGTCAGGCCTACGCTTTGAGACCCAGATGAAAACTCTGGCCCAGTTTCCAGAGACTTTGTTGGGAGACCCTGAAAAGAGGACTCAGTACTTTGACCCTTTGCGCAATGAGTATTTTTTTGACAGGAACCGCCCCAGCTTTGATGCCATCTTATATTATTACCAATCAGGAGGCCGTCTGAAGAGGCCAGTCAATGTCCCCTTTGATATCTTCACTGAGGAGGTGAAGTTCTATCAATTGGGGGAGGAGGCCCTGTTGAAGTTTCGGGAGGACGAGGGCTTTGTGAGAGAGGAGGAGGACAGGGCCCTCCCTGAGAATGAATTTAAAAAGCAGATTTGGCTCCTCTTTGAATATCCAGAGAGCTCCAGTCCTGCAAGGGGCATAGCCATTGTGTCTGTCCTGGTCATCTTAATCTCCATTGTCATCTTTTGCCTGGAAACCTTGCCTGAGTTTAGGGACGACCGGGATCTCGTCATGGCACTGAGTGCTGGTGGGCACGGTGGGTTGTTGAATGACACTTCAGCACCCCACCCAGAGAACTCAGGGCACACAATATTCAATGACCCCTTCTTCATCGTGGAAACAGTCTGTATTGTATGGTTTTCCTTTGAGTTTGTGGTTCGCTGCTTTGCTTGTCCCAGCCAAGCACTCTTCTTCAAAAACATCATGAACATCATTGACATTGTCTCCATTTTGCCTTACTTCATCACACTGGGCACTGACCTGGCCCAGCAACAGGGGGGTGGCAATGGTCAGCAGCAGCAGGCCATGTCCTTTGCCATCCTCAGAATCATTCGTCTGGTCCGAGTATTCCGGATCTTCAAACTCTCCAGGCACTCCAAAGGCCTGCAGATCCTGGGCCACACCCTCAGAGCCAGCATGCGGGAACTGGGCCTTCTGATCTTCTTCCTCTTCATTGGGGTCATTCTCTTTTCCAGCGCTGTGTATTTTGCAGAGGCAGATGAACCTACTACCCATTTCCAAAGCATCCCAGATGCATTTTGGTGGGCTGTGGTGACCATGACAACTGTGGGCTATGGGGACATGAAGCCCATCACTGTGGGGGGCAAGATTGTCGGGTCCCTGTGTGCCATTGCGGGTGTATTAACCATTGCTTTGCCAGTGCCAGTGATTGTCTCTAACTTTAACTATTTCTACCACAGAGAGACTGAAAATGAGGAACAGACACAGCTAACGCAGAATGCAGTCAGTTGCCCATACCTCCCCTCTAATTTGCTCAAGAAATTTCGGAGCTCTACTTCTTCTTCCCTGGGGGACAAGTCAGAGTATCTAGAGATGGAAGAAGGAGTTAAGGAATCTCTGTGTGCAAAGGAGGAGAAGTGTCAGGGAAAGGGGGATGACAGTGAGACAGATAAAAACAACTGTTCTAATGCAAAGGCTGTGGAGACTGATGTGTGAATCTCTTTCTCCACCTGCCACTGCCCCCCTCTCAGCATCTCCAAATATATTTATGCATAGAGAGTGCAGTTATGAAAATGAAATATGCAAATGATCCAATGCATACAGTAGTACACTATTTAATGGTTATACATGGCATAATTGTTACTAAACTTGTATTACATATCAAATAAATGATACATCTTCGAGAAGAGGGAGGCTTAAATAGGAGCAAATCTATCTTTATATTTTTATTAGAATGCAAGAATTTTGCACATTAACTGGAAAAGATGTTGACAGTAAAGATGGAGAGAGAGAGAGTGTGTGCGTGTGTGTGCGTATGTGTGTGTGTGTGAAGTAAATTGTCAATGTTAGTAATTGTGCAGTGATGGGAAAAGTTGGCATTTTGAAGTATTTACTATGTAAGAACTAATGAATCTGAGCAGTCATTTATCAGTGCTTTAACAGCATATCATATGTCTTTGGATTCAGTAGGTGTTTTTTAAAAATTGTAAGAAATACTGTGTAGAGAAAAAAGAAAGTAAATTATTTAATAGAATATAGGTCACAATTTTATCTTGGATTTAATTAAAGTTTATTTTTAACTGGAAATTAACTTTTAAAAAGGCTGCAAGGGCCTTTAGAAATTGATTATATTTTGTTATTAATTTTGGGAAGATTTAACAGCAAATGTGTAACATAGAATAAGTGAAATTGGAGAATATGTAATAAGTTTTGTTTGCAGGTAACAGGACTGGATTTTTTTTTTCTTTGCACTACTTTATATGCTGGAGATTGAGAGAGACTTCATACTGTGAATGTTTACTAATGTAACAGTTCAATGACAATCATTGGAAGAATGATTTCTTTAGTCTTATTTTATTGTTTTCTTTTCATTGTGTGAGACTAATGACCATGCAGATAATATCACATGATTCTCTTCTCTTTTAAAACCTAAATAACTGATTGACAAAGGAATTATGAAGTAAAATTTAGCAACTGAATCTTTTGAAATTGGTCTGTTACAATGATGCTTCTGAAATCATACTATTTTATATATTCTTCTGCCTTTTAACTCCAGAATAATTTAACCAAAGTTAATGCATGCACTGAAAGAATTCTTGAAGAAATAAGATGCCAAGCAGCTACAGTGATTATGGCTTAAAAATTTTCTATTAAATGTGAAACATAAATGCTAGATTTATTAAGTTTATTTTTTTGTGCAGTTATATAAGAACAGAATTTGGGGATTAACCTCAGATTTTTACGTTATATTTGCTAAAACGGATATAAGGAAGAATTGTGTCAAACATTTCATTTCAACATCACCACCATCATCTTTATTAAAGGAATTTATGACACATATAACTGCATTTAACTCATGACAAAGCATTCTAGAATGTGAGATAACAACTAGTGATCAGCCTTGCACTGTTAAATCATCACTAGTTATAGGTTAGAAAACTCGGAATGCATTAGAGGCCTTTTTCCACAATGTTTATTTAACTTCTATTCTTTATAAAATGATTGTCTTGGGCTCTGGTTGTTGGGGAGGGGGGAAAACAAAACAAGCAACACTGCATACACTATTTTGACACATAGTGAACTCTGGTAACTGTGAGCTAAAGACAAACAAACAAACAAACAGACCTAAAATAGCCTTTCTCAAGCTTTTTAAAATCCAGGCCATCATTTCATAATTACATAAATCCTACCTCTCCTTTAATGGTATTTGAAATTCAAAGTAAATTCAACATTAGGGTTAAAAGTAAAACTGCATCCCCTCTCCACACTTTCCCCACCACTTGTAGAGAAACACTTTTCTAGAACACATTTTTGATTGTGAAGAACAAAGATCAATAGAAGACAATAGAGAATGATAAAACAAAATACCATCTTACAATAAGATTTAAAAGATAGTGTTTTAACACATTTTGGATTTGGGGCAAAAACGTAACAAGCATCAGACTAGGGGTAAGGCTATTTGAACTGGTTATAATTCATTTTGAAAAATCACTTAGCATCTCTGTACTCAAATTTCATGATTGGTTAAAAAGAGGGCAAATGAAGCATGTTACATTACAGAGTTATGCCAAACAAATGAGAACATGCAAAACATCTGAAATGTTGAGTTCCATACAAATGCCTGATGTTATTTCTAAATTGTTTAATCTTCCTCTGGGAGAAAAAGGGATTTAGAACCCAGAAGCATACATCTACTTCATTAGGATATTGTTAAAATTATGGGTAATTGCTTTAACTCTGCAGTCCTTACAAGAAGTTGATATGCAGACGCAAGATAGTCTATTGCTGATAGATTCAGGCATGCTATAGCATAGAAAGTTGACTCTGTGAACAACAGACCATGTATCTTACAATATAGCCAACTAGGTCAGATTATATCTCAAAATAATTTAAGGGCTGTTCAATATATAAGGGATGTTTATTGAACTTTCTGTAATAGCAATGACAATGATTTGGTTATGTTTGGAAGGGAAATGTACTGTATTTCATTGTTTCTATAATACCTCCTTTTAAATCTGAAAGTTATATTAAATTTGATTGACAAAAGATATTATATTGATAATTCTGAGAATCCAGGAAATGTAGTCATTTGGGGCTTACCTTTATTGCACATGGCTTTTTTTTTGTTTTTTCCAGGATGAGAAGGTCAAGAAGTGACAGACCTGAGCTTTCAAACCAAATATTATTAGGTCATCTTACTAAACCCATGGTTTCTTTCGCCCTGCAAGATGCATTTATTTTAGGGTATCTGGATCTTGATCCCACACTGAGAAGGAAGCTTTTAAGCCCTCAAGACTTGTATGGGGGTACTTCTATATGGAACACTTCTCTTATAAGATAATTTATGAAGTGAGGACATCTAGTGCAGTTGTGAATTCATAACATTTTTCATAGTTGAAACTAGTCAAAGTGCTTTAGAACCATTTGTAAAAAATGTATACTGATGAATATGCTTTCAGGATGTATTTGTAACTAATTTAGGAAACTGTATCTTAGAGGCCACTATACACATTTGGTTGTAAGATAAAAGGGAAGTGACCTTCTTTAGAGATCCTAATTCTTGGGATCTAGGATCCTTTTATTGCTTTTCAGATGATAATAGATGTTACCAAAAGCACACTCTTTGAGGGTCATCCTAATCAGAGTCTTTTCAAGGGTGGATGCATTGTTCTCTCTTGCAAATGCTTGGAAAGGAAACTGTTATGCATAACAGTTATGGGGAAGAAAGGAGGAATAAATAGTCCTTTTGAATTTCTGTGAAAGGGAGCCAGTGGGTGCTAGAGGAATGACAGCTGGTCTAGGGAGTCAAGAGAGCTGGCTTGTTAATCGTGGGCAAATCGTTTCATCTCCTTGATCCTCAGGAGTGTGTGTGTGTGTGTGTGTGTGTGTGTGTGTGTAGCTAACACTGGGGTATTGGGCTACATTATTACTTGTTTCATTTTAGTACTGCAATTCTACTGTGGAGTAAAAGAAATGTCAGACTAGCTTGATATTTTCTAAGTACCATTCAAGTCATATCAGCTTGGATTTTTTAGTAAGTAACAGGAGCAAAAATAAATAAATAAAAATAAAAATCTCACTGTTAGGTTAACCGCAGAACAGGTGTTTGAGTTTTTTTGAATGTAGACTAAGCTGAATAAATAGGATGTATTTTGAAGCTGTTATTCTAACAACTTCTAAAGGGAAGGGATTCATTTAATGAAAAATAACTCTTCAGTCCTCAGTTGAATTCATATGGTGAAAATTGGTAAGTAAACATTTTGATGTCTTGCTTTGTTATCATGCAGTCTTGTCTGTAAACAGTATTTTGACCTGTGCGAGGGAACTCATTTTAGGCTTAAACACATGTAGTGTTTCACAAGTGCTACTGCATGCTTTGTCAAGTTTGTTTTAAACAGGATCACTGAAGCTTCCTGAAAATTTTTTCATTAAGCATGTGTTGAAATAGAACCCAATATATGAATAAGAAATATGTAAAGAAAATACTCTGAACTAAGATACATATTTTCCCATTTTAAAAAAGTCAATATTAACCAATGGAAAATTATTTTTAATCACATTGGAATCCCAAACAGTAGCCCCCCTACTTTCCAACAAATCAGAAATTGTGCTCTTCGTTGTTGTTAATATTCATGGTTTGGATGAGCCTTCAGTACTAACATTACAGCTATTGCTAGGGAAAGTGAGAACTACACCTAGATTCACTTCACATTTTTAAAATGAACCTGTGGTGATGTGCTCATGTGCAGGAAACAGTGTAGCATCCTTCTTTATGTGTGTGTATGTGTTTTTATTGATACAGTTTAAAATGATTACGGGGTATCATTCAGTGACAAAAGGGCCTGTTCCAGGAAATCTCCTTGACCCAAAAGTCATTCTGAATTTTTCAAGGGACATTTGATGTGGATATAAGGTACCTTTTGGTTTTCCTGCCTGTAAAGAAACTTGACTCTAGGCACAGGATCTTCCAGACCAATGTAGCCGTTGCAGGTTAGAAGACAGCACGCTACTTTCTAGTATGGAAATCAGTATTCCTATTTGAGAAGAAGGTTGTTGGAGTGGTTGTGTTCAATATTGAAGGAGGAAGAGCTATTTTTTGTAATAAATGGGAATATGTACTTCTGAAAAGTAAATTAAGATTAGGACTGTGATATGAGTTTTATTTCTGGCTTGATTTTGTTTCCATAGCAGTCCCAATTTCTCACAGTGTCTTCTTCATAAAAGTATGCTAATACATATCAGACCATATGGCCCCATTTGAGGTTTAGAAAATATGGTCACCTTATTTATGGATAAATAAATTAATCCCAGGGCATAAGTTGGTTGCTTAAAAACATGGCACATATTTAATGAGCCGTGGCTCTAAGTGAGATGCAAGCATCCCCCTTTCAGGCCTGTGGGACAGGAATAAATGTATAAGGCAAATAATGTGCTGAATATGAAGTCGTGCTGTCATCTTGAAAAGCATATTCCCAGATTCACTGGAGGTAGTGTCGCTGACTTAAGGTTCAGCTTTTTGGTCCATTTGTTGTCACTGATGTCTTGGAAGGAGATTTTTGCATCCAGGGTGCCAGGAACTAAATGATTTTGGTAGTTGATCCACAAACAGTCCATTCTTGCTTCCTACCTGCAAGCAATCTGGTTTGTAGGTTATCCGTAGTTGGTTTCTCATCTGAGGCTGGCTTTACTCAGGTTCAGAAGCCTGTTGTCTTGTGTTAAACAATCAGTCCAGAAAAGGTAAAATTATAAAAAGATAAAACAATCCGGTACAAAGAAACAACAAAAACACTAGAACTAGAAAGCCAAGCAAAACCTAAGTGGGAAGCCAAATCTGTTGTTCAAACTGTTACATCCACTAGAACTAATTATGCAGGATTTTAGGGTAACATTGGTCCTACCTCTTCACCATTAGCAGAGATAGCCAAGAGGTGACTGTTGTGATGGAGGACATAAAACAGAAATAACCTGCCCCATGAATATATAGGTTAACATTTTCTGTGAAAATGATAGAAATGCCAACCTACCTTAGCAGTGGTTTTAATAGTAGCTATTAGGAATGACTAATAAATATGGAAGATATGCTGGTGTTTTTCCCAGTAATTAGTATTCATTAGTATTATGTGGAAATGTACTTGGATTGTTTCTCATGATTCTGTACATCAAGGGCTATTTCAAAGTCAAAGAGCCTGAAGGCATTTTTATTCACAGCTACTTAAGCTATTGGCTGTTGAGGGGCCAGTTACCTCTTAAATCAGTCAAAGCAGTTAAATAAATAGTCCCTGTGGATATCAACAAAAGCTGTGTCAGTGCTAAGTCTAAGAATTATATTTGTTTCAAAATAATTATATGAATGTATAATATATTCATATGTTAACATATATTATGTATTTTACATTCTGCCAACAAATATAAGCAAAATGAATGATCTGAGGTATTGAAAGAGACTTCTCAAAGTGAAGTAAAAGTGTATAATTCTCATTAGTAGGAAAATGCATGTGTTTTGGAGAAATGGTGAGGCTGGAGGATTAAAAAACCTTTCTTTACACTTTAGGTTGGATTTTTGTGCCCTATAACCACAATAATACTAGTCCTAAGCTCTGAGACATTCCATAAGGGTATATAGTTTCATTCCCAGAAGACAGGGTTAATTTTTATGCTTTATGGAACATTGCAAAATGTTGATTTTATTTTTTTAATGCACATTATTCTCATTATATAAAGGATGCATATAGCATGGAAACTAGACTATATGACCTGTAGAACTACTGTGTGCTCTTTAGAAATAGAATTACTAGAAGCCATTATCTTTCTGTATTTTTTGTGGTAGCTTTTGTTTGATGTGAATTACTTAATTCTCTCAGATTCAATTGCCCCATTAAAAGTTTCAGGTTATTTTTGCTTTTGGTGAATGTTCCAATATCTTTCTTAGCCTCTGAGGGCACACAAACAACCATTCAATAGTTGGAAAATAGCATATCTCTTGGAGATTAAGGTGATATTACCTGAACTCTCTCTATGATAGCAGCCACATTAGTTAACATGGAGGATGCATGTTTTTCTATTTATAAACTTAATGCACTTGTACCTGAATAGAATGATGATTTCCCTAAAGAACACTAATGTTGTTGATAGCATCTGAGTGAGCCTTTTTTCCTCCTGTCAATTGGTAGGGATCATGATCCAAATGAGGCTTTCATTTGCTATCAGGCAGAGAAGGAAATAATTAATGAAGCTCCCACTGAACTGAAATCTATCAAGAAGTGATGGAATCTCTAGGGAATGCATTAGAATTTTTATTTATTTACTTGCCATTCCTAGTTGGTGTCATTATGGCATGACTGTTGGGGAAAGATATTAATTTTAGGATCATTTACCTAATACTAAAATGACTTGATAAAAAGCAATTCAAAATTATAAGTATTGCACTATCTTATTAGCTTTAGGAATATTTCCAAAAATTTTAAGAATTTAATTTGAGATTTGGAGATTGCAATAGTTATTTGGAGAGAGATGTATCCAAAGAATAATGATTCAGTTTTTCAGATTTCTTGAGAAATCTGAGTTTTATAAGCTTTGCAAGAGAGACTCAAAAAGTCTCTCAACTTTCAAAAATTTTGCTGCAACCCTGTCACATTTCAGAATTCCTCTTGAGAGGAAAATGGTACCTCCTTTACTTCTTTTGTGTGTGTGTGTCTTTTTCACATTCATGATTAAATTGGTGGATTTTATATAATCATTATCTTCTAGCAAATTAAGTGAAAGACTTGGCTACAGATTGATTAGAGGATGACAAGATTGTCTGATAGTCTTTCTTTGCAACATTTGCTGTTGATCAGTTTAGAAGCTGATCTCATTATATGTGAATTACAACACAGAGAAATGGCTATGTACTATACTATATTAGAATCTAAATGACAAAGCATGAATATTAGGAATAGGATTTCCTTTTGAGTTCCTAGAAGTGTTATTAGAGCTCTTGACCCATGTCCTCCAGATCCTATCTAGCCAATGAGAATTTAGCAAATTCCTTTTTTTTTTTTTTTTCGTAGAGTAGTGACAAGATATAACCAGGATCAGTGCCAGTTGGGAGATAGGGACAGGAGCAGGGAGGTAAGCAAGGTACAAGGAGTTATGCCTAAATGAAGTCACTAATTTGATGGTGCAAATAGCTAGGTCAGTCTAAAAACTGCTTCATTTTGTCATGCTAACTATTAATTTTTGTTAAACCAAAGAATCCAGGAAATTGAATTAATCTCTTAGAGTAGGTATATATGTGTATATGTCCAAATGTTCCCTTTGTTCTTTGTCTTCGAGGGCACTGACATATGAAACCATAAAACTGCTGCTGGGAATTAAAACTATATGTCTCATTAAGGATAAGATTCACCTTTCCCTTTGGAGTAAGGGACTCATGTCTTTAGGAGATTACCACTTAGACATTTACGTTTCAAAGGGAGAGAATTCTCCCCCTTACTCTAATACAGAATGTCAGCATGGCAGTACATTCAAGCTAAGATAGAAGTAAGCAACCAGTAGAAGCCCTGAGAATGAATGTCACTAACACAGAGCTGAATGTTGTGTTTATGTTGGTTATTGCTGGTGCTCAATTCTTAGAGGAATGGAAAAATCATAAAATTTGTGCAACCTAATTAGAACTCTGCCATCATATGCTCCTTGCTGATTTAGCTGCTGCTGCTGCTTCTCATCCACACAGAAAAGAGGTGTCATTTCACTACTAGAATCCACATACTTCACAGGTTTCAAGGCAGTGTGAGAAACAGTGGAGAAAGAAAGGGTTAGATTCGATAGATAAGGATGAAGCAGCAGCATACAGTATTTTAAGGTGTGAATCATCTTGTGACACGAGACTATTTTTACTCACTCAAGGGACTAAGCAGAATCTTTGGATGGGAGAAGCTCTGTTCAGGAATTACCATTTCCTTTTTGTATGTCTATAGTATCACTATTAGAGATCAGTCTAGTCTAGCAAGGGGATACATTCTTCCGTCATTGCTAAAACAAACTGAAAATTACATGTTGGAAACATTTTTTTTCCTTATTTCGGTTAAGAAAAATTGTAGTTGTTTTATAAGCTTTGCAAGAGAGATTCAAAAAGTCTCTCAACTGTCAAAATTGTGCTGCAACCCTGTCAGATTCAGAACGAAATTCAAGGTAGGAGAGTCTAATAGAACTTCAGACCAAATATAAAGTTGTTCAAAATAAAGTATCCAGAGATCTCCTTCCAATCTCTTCCCCCATGTAAGTTTTTGTTTGTTTGTTTGTTTGTTTGTTTTTGTTTTTGTTGTTTTTTAACTGCAGATCTAGACATGTAAAATGTTTGGTTTTCCACTTTCCCTCCAGCTTATCTCATCCCATTCACCTTTGCATCAACAAAAGCCCAGATCAGGAAGGCTTTTGCAGTCCCTGTTTGCAGATTTCTCAGGGAGAGATTTTTATGTGTGATTCGGGTAGACATCTTCCCATTTTATAAATCAGGTCATGCCAGTGCATATCCAGAAAGCTTCTACAACCACCTGCAATGTGGGTCTGTTATGTTCTGTTGTTATGTTAGCTATTTTCTGCCTATTACTGAACAGCTGGGATTTTAGAAACAGCTGGATGATTAGTTGTGTTTTTTCCATTTTTCACCCAGATGCTTTATTACTGTGTAGAAACAACCCCAATGTGGAACAACCTGGGAGTATAATAGCAAAAATCTGCTCTGATGCAACTGTTGTTATTAGGAATTGAATCAAGAAAATTACGGGCAAACAGTTTTGACTATTGTCTGCTTTACAAACATGTTTGATACAGCATTCTCATTTCCATTTCTAGGCAAAATGGTTTGATTTAGCAACTTTAAAATGCCTCTTCCATTATTCCTTAGACTATCGAAGCTATGCTTTGGCTGTTAACGTTTATTTGCTTAAGGAGAAATGTCTATACACAATGAGGCAGCACCTGAGTTTTCCGTTCACTGCTGGCAAGAGGAGCTGACAGAGGCAGGCAAGCGACAGTCCTCTCACTCGCCACAGTCTATTTTTAGGTTGGTTCCTTTGTGGCTGACTTCAGCCCTGATGGGATGGATTGACATTCAAAGACAATAAATACTTTATTATGACGATTTGCAGATTTATAAAACTGGATGGTATTGTGAAAGCGACAAATTTAATTCAGGTGCTGTTAGTTGGTTCCTTACCCAGGGCTAAAATTAGAATAAAAAAGATGCGTAGACGCCTTTTCCTTTTCTAATTATTCTTTCAACAGATGTTTGTTAAGCTTGTACTAGCTGGCTAGGCTGTGTCATGTACCCAATCTCTAGATGTACTAAAATTTCAGAGAATTACAGTTCATGTAAGGATTTTTTTTGAGATATATATTCATTTTTCTAGATAGCAGGATTCTTGTTTATTATGATGATTCCTTTTTCCCCCTTTAGAATCTGTATGTGTGGCTAGGTCTGCTTTCTCCTAGGGGAGTGAATTGCCAGGCATCATGCTTTAATAATACTTCCTTTTTATAAGTTCTATCTTGTTTCTGTTATGTGCTTCATTTTCTGTAATAGCTTCTGTATAAACTGCAGAGTAAATGGGCCTGAATCCAACTTGCCAATTTTTTATGATTCTTGCATGAGCAAGAACAATACTCAGTGTTTTCAAATAGCAGAGGTGATTATATGAACCGTATTTACTCCTTTTCATTCCTGTAATGCATTTCTTCTATTCACTAACATGTGATTAAACTATAACTCAAAGAAAGAAGCAGATTTAACTGAAATATTAAACATTTGTAAAGCAATAAACAATCTTTTTTTTTTAATTTCAAAGTAATTTGCTATGACCATGGTTCTTCTTTCCACACAAATATATATATATATATTTTTAAATAATAACCATCTGTATCTTTCTATTTGGGAAAGGTTTGAGTGCCATTGATGATTCCTTTACAAATTCTGGCTTGACTAAAAACCTGAATTTATTTCTTGGATGCATGTGGAAAGGTTTGTTCTTTTTGTGGATATTCCTACTACCTGGGCAAACCAAATGGAATTGCGTTAATTACGTGGCTAAGTTAGGACAGTTGAGGCCAACTTTAGGGATTTTTCCGAGGTGTCTTCTATCTGCACTGATCGATTTCAAAGGTGTTTGCTCAGGTTTCCGTTTGCTTTCAAGATAATGTCTGATACATTAAGTTAAAGTTAAGGCTTTACCATTTGAAATACAGTTGTAATAACATTTTTAGCTGTCCCCAACTAGCTTTAATTTCTTAAGAACAACTTGAACTTCTATGAAATGTATTTTAAAAAACACTTTGTTTGTTTTCTGAGTGTTTCAGGACTTATATTAGAGTCCCTGGCTTTTAGTCTTCATTCAAGCCAAACAGCCATGATCTTTAATTGAAGCTGCTTCTATTGGAAGCCAAAACAATTGGTGGAGTCAGTGAAGAAAAGAAAAAAAAAAAAAAAAAAAAAAGCCAAGATGATTGTCTGGCATTGTGAAACCATTGATTCAATTCTGCTTCATTAAAGCCATTAGAAGCAAACAGATCCTGGATTGTCTTTAACTTTGGGCATTTTTCAATTGCTATCTACTCTGTCAAGGAAATACCTTTAATTGTAAAACCATTATCGTATGGGATATTTAGTTTTACTTTGGCAAACTGCAACTATTTCTTGTGCTTTAGAACTATGACATTCTGTATATTAAAAATGCAAATGAAACCATGGTTTTTCTATCTTAAAATGAAGGCATTTTTTTCCTTCACAATTTTTCATGAAATCTATTTGCAAACTTGAAAATGTATGTTAACCAAAATTAGCTGACACACAGTTAATACTTGAAGAGTTTTAGACAAATAACTGCGTTGCTCATTATTACTATATGAAGAAGGAAATGACTTACAATTTTTTTACACACTGGAAAGTGAAAATGGAAGGCCATATATTTATTTACATTTTCTGAAAAAGACCAAAGGCCATATATTTATTTAGATTTTCTAATGGATATTAAAATGTTCTGTGTGATTCATTCAGAAGTTCTTCAATGGATGTCAAATACATTTGAAATATGTCAGTCAAAGGGTACAAAGGCTCAGATAGGAGGAATGAGTTTGACTTTTTTTTGAGATTAATTCCACAACATGGTGAATATAGCTAATATTGAGTACTGTACATTTCAGTAATGTTAAGAGAATAAATTTCAAATGCTCTTATCACAAAAATGTTAAACATTTTAGGTAATGGACAGGTTAATTAGCTTGATTTAATCATTGCACATTGTATTCAAAAATCTTAACACTACTTTATATTCCATAAATATATACAACTATAATTTGTCAATATATAACAAACATTATAATTTTTTACACCTAACTAGAAATGTAATTTTGAAATGTGGTATTTCATTGTATAGATTACATTTCTGATATTTAAAATATATTCATATTATGTAATATTACCCTATTAAAAGCCTGTTTTTTGTTTTTTAGCATACTAAATAGCCTAACAGGCTATGTGTGAATGTTGTGAAAATAATTTGACAGTTTTAAAGTCTATATCCCTAGAATATCAGTTATGTTTTCAGAAGAAAATATCTTTTTATGTTCCTATTTGAATAATAAAAGTTAAATATCTTTAACCTTGATTTTAGATTAGGTAAGTATTAAAATTTACATTAAAAGTAGGAGGAACTAATAATTTGTACAGATTGACCCCTGAGATATTAACACATAAGACAAAATTCCTCTTTTCACTGGCTATTTAGAGCAATTTCTCAGTAATCTTTTTTTTTTTTTTTGTCTTTTAAAAATTTCAAGCACATTATTTCACTATTTATTACAACCTGGTCATACTATTTATCAAAACCTGACTACTGTGGAGAAGTAAACCTGTTGCTCTCCATAGAATAGTATTAAAAGCATTTTATGTAAAACTTTTACCAGAAAGATGGTTCCATGGCAAGTATTCAAGGACAGTATTAGAGACAACCCCAGGGTATATAATGGAAAGTACAGACATCTTAAATGATTCAATTTCATAAAAATGTCTAGGTTCTTAGCAAGTTGAATGATGCCATAGCTCTGTCTTTTAAACCATGCTAGTTGCCAACTGTTAATTAGTAGTGTACGGTCAAATAAAAAATTGGGGATGAAGTACATCAGTGTAGAGGTTTTGCTGTTAAATAAAATAATATTTTTATTTTAATTTTTGCTATTCATCCAAGCAAGTCCTAATTATAGGTAATTCTTGGTATTCTAACAGATAACAAGTGCAAGAAGTTCAAAACTGGATTAATCATGAATAAAGCAAATTTGCCTTTTATGTATTTATGCCAGAAGCTGTACCACAAACCTATTATCTTATGATTTTTATCATTAGCCTGCTAATATCAGCACATTTTAATAATTTGTTAATTTTCAGGGATGCCTAGGAGGTAAATGCAACTAGCTAAGAGTTAGCTGATGGGCAGACATGGTCATAGAAGTTTACCATCATCCATGGCTACTAGTTTTATGAACATAATTGTGCTTAAAGCATTTGTCATATTTCTGTCATTTGTCAGATTCTCAGAGAAGAAAGGTGTAGACAGTTGTAATTTTTTTTTTCCTATTCTGTTTTCGAAATGGAGATCAGGTAGCAATGGAGTGTTTGGAAGAAGCAGTTGTCTGTTTTTGTAGTCTTGGCCACATATGTTGTTTGTACAATTCAAGACATTCATTCTTTGGTGGATAAAGTGCCTAATGATTGCTTGTTATCTCCGTGAAGTATTTTAAAAGAGACTCATATACAGCCAAAAAAACAGAGTCTTCAATTGTATTCATGCTAGTGGAAGATAAGCTTCATCCTTAGCCAGGCTTATGCTACTTAAGGACATTGGAGACTCAAGGGGATGGGATGTGCTCTATGCATTCCAGCAATTTGTAAGATGCTCTTGGAGTATTTCAATCGTGCCTTTATATTGATGAAGCTGACCAAATTATTTACTCATGGCTTTTGTGGATGCTGTGCAATTGTTTTTATATTTTTTAAAAAGTGCTAATTGAAAATGTTTATCTCATGATATAAAGTAATATAATATGTAGTAATATAGTGATCACATGTAGCCATGATAGCATGGGATTATAATGAAAAAGAGTAACAACTCTTGTAATTAAGGCTTAAGAAGTTATATTAAATTTTTTTTACTATAACATTCCTATATTATGTTTTTAGTATGTAAAATAGGGACAAGAGGAAAAAAAAACGTGTTTTGTTATCTGAATTCTCTCCAACTCCTTTTTCGCTATTCATCTTTATCCTACCTCCTTATAATTGTAACATACAGCGTTCAGATACAACGTTCCCTTGTATCTAAGGATGATACATTCCAGGACCCCCAGTGGATGCCTGACACTGCAGATAGTAGTGAACTTCTATATAGTATGTTTTTGTCCTATACATACAACCTATGATAAATTAGACACAGTAAGAGATTAACAATGATACCTAATAATAAAATAGAACAATTAGTATAGTGTAATAAAAGTTATGTGAATGCGGTCTCTGTCTCTCATAATATCTTATTGAATGGTACTCACCTATTTTTGGACCAGAGTTGACCACAGTAACTGAAAGAAGCCACCAAAAGTGAAACTGAGGTTAAGGGAGAGATTACTGTATTAATAATCTAGGTTTGAATTGTGTTTTTCTCCAAGCATAGTATCACTGCCTTTCTCTGGTAGGTACATCGTTTGCTACATTGCTTTTGTGGATACTGTGCGATTGCTTTCAGATTTTTAGAAAAGCACTATTGAAGTATGTTTATCTCATGATAGGAAAAAAATATAATATATAGTAATATAATGATCACATGTAGCCATGATGGCATGGGATCATAATTAAAAAGAGTTTCAACTCTTGCAATTAAGGCCCAAGAAGTTAATTTTTTTTACTATAATATTACTATATTATGTTTTCAATGTATAAAATAGAGAAAAGAGGAAAAGGAGATGTTTTGTTATCCTAATTATCTCTAACTCCTTTTTCCCTGTGCATCTTTATTCTACCTCTTTATAATTGCTATGTAGTTAGCAAAACTATTCCTCTTAATTGCTATGTGGTTAACAAAACTGTTGTTAGGTAGCTTTTTAATTTTTATTTCATCTTTTTGCTGTGATTTTGTGTCTGCATCATATTTTATTCAATAGATGTACATACTTTCTTGGTCATTTCAGTATATTTTCTAGATTGCTTTACTTTTAAAAATTATACTGTTATATTATTTAAATCAAACTATGATGAATGTTTTCATAAAAATAATATTTTTTTTTAACTATTCTCTAGGCTATCTTCCCAGAGAAAGTTGTTTTAAATAAAGATATTTTAAGTTTAAATGATATTGCATTCTTTTACAATATAATATATTAATAATAAATCTAGTGGGGTGTGAAGTAACTTTTGAAAATTATTCATTTGCTGTTCTCAGTAGTTGAACAAGCATTAATTATGTAAGTATTATCAATAACGTAATACCTATATGTTGACCTCAGCTTTGCCTGTTCATATAGCAAATTGTTTTCGATGATAAGTGTTGCTTGAGCAGCTGATGACAACGTGTTCCTATTTGTTTTCTGCTCTTCTACTGCAAGCAGACTCGTGCACCTTTTTCATTTGGCTCATGGTGATCAGGTTAATTATGTGTCTCTATCTCTCCCTGTCTTAGCTAAAGGTCTTGCCTTCAGCTCTCTAATCTCTTTTAATTCTACCATCACTCAGTGGCTTGATTTGTCCTTGAGACAACATAATGTCCTGAATTACTTAATCTCTGTATGGCTTGTGAATGGTTTCCTAGTAATTTCATGAAGGGATACTTAACAACTGGACACTGTTTTTATCTTCAGTTGTTTCTCCTCTTCGTTCTCCTCTTCCTTCTTCAATTTGTTTTCTTTATGTGTCCTAAATTGAATATTGAACTTTTTGCTGACTTGATGATTCAATACTGAGGCACAGGTAATAATTGGGAAACCCTGGGAACACTTCTTTCTTACCTACTTGGAATTGGAAGATCTCTTAGAAGAGCTTAAAACTGTTTAGATGAAACTTACCATACTATCTCCTGGTAAGAGAATTGAGCTGCATAGACTACTGAGTTTTACAGAGAATAAATATACATTTTTTTTATTGTAATTGTTTTTGGAAATAATACAAGTTATTCCTGAGAATAATAATTCCTGTTCTTGAAGAACAATCTCTGTCTGACTATCTTCAACATTTTAATGAAAAAGGCTGGGGTGGAAGGAGCAAATAATTTTTTTTCTTTCCAATGGCAATTAAAAGCATATTTTCAGCTCCTTTTCCGGAGTTCCGGAAAGATTTCTGGAATCTTTTTAAAACTCTACTTTTTCTGAGCTCTGAGCCTATAATTCTTTACTATGTTTCTTATTATCTGCTTATCTTTGGGATTGCTGGTTTGGGGGAACTGA